CTAGTCACGCCGTTATTTTTATAATGCGATCGATAGCACAAAAACTTGGTTTTCGGAACGACAGGGTTCCGCCACGGGTCCAAATTTGTGCATAGGTTACCTCACCAGCTTAGAAAACTTATTTTGCCATTTTTTGAGCATCAAAAAAGGAACACATCAGGTCACAAGTTGGCGGTATTAAATCGAACCTATGATCCACATATAAACGGTCCCAAGACGAATTCCTGGGTATCAGGATACACATAGTCCGGCTTTCCATGAATGCGCCCGGGAGCAAGCTTGTGCTTACCAAGCGAAAAAACAACCAAACACTTCAAAATGAATAAACTTAGAAAAGCGGTAAGACTAGTTGTGAATATTCGAGAAGGAACATAACTGCCGCAAAAACCTGGACCCGCTGAGATTTCCCCGAAAATCGAGTTTCTATGCTGTTCAGCAGCATTATAAAAATAACCCCGCTAGCCCAAAATAGACACAAATAAAAGGAAATGCACAAAGCGGGCGAAAAACATGAACAATTGCCCGTCTACATGCGATCTAATTAATTAATTAGGTGCCACTTCACACAGCTGAAGGACCACATGCCCTCTTACCATATGTCACAATCAACCGAAAAAAAACGAAAAATCGCCAAAAAGCTAATGATGTCTGAATAAGCAAAAACCGTGAAACAAAAATCAGTGAAGGACCCATTCCTTAAAACTCTGAATAGTTTCAGATAATTCGTCCAGATATACCCAATTTTTGCAACTTCAGACACCCATAAAATTCGATAAACAAAGAAAGAAAACACTTACGTGTAATTGAACGTCGGCAACGAAGGGTCATGCGCTTTGAATGTATCTAATACAGTCCCGATGGCTGTATCTTCACTGATATTCTTCATCACAAATACTTGAATAGCGCGCTCCTGGGGGGACACATAGGTGGAAAATCGCGATTTTGCCAGCGATGTGTCCAAGCCGAACGGCAGTGACAAGTCGTTTATAGCTCGCGTAACAGGAATAGTCGCGACGACAAGTATAGTCAGATAGAGCCAGACCCGTGGAACTCCCTTACCTTGCATGATCACCGGCATCACGATCGGTGACAGTGAATCGTGCGACGATTGTGCCTCGCTCGGCATCCTCAGGAATTTGGACTTCTGATGGACCGGCGATGTCCGGTGCATGGTCGTTCTCGTCGATGAGCTGCACGACGATGTTGCTGGTGGTGTCGTGCAATCCGTCGCTGACACGGATGCGCAGACGGAATCCGTCGCGTTGTGCAGCGTCTTCGTAGTCGAGCGGCTGTGAAGGTGTTCTCGTTTAGAGCACGTTAATTCACCTAAGGAAGTTCCTAACGGGTCTGGCTTATGAATCGAAGAGTAATTCCTTTGTGGATCGAAAGACATGCAAGAGAAAATGAATAGCTCGGCAGTGGCTGTGGATGGTATAGGCCGGCCGTCGGCGTGGGCCGTGCGGTTAGTGAGTGGGTCCTGAAACGAATGCCTATGCACGTGCACTAGTGAATTTAAGTAGCGATAGAGGAAATCTCGCACAACGATCTCATAGAGATGAGCAGAAATTTTTACCAAAAAAAGCAGATAGGGAATGTGAACGAACGCCTGATCGGAGGAACATCACTATTAAGTAAGCGCAACGAATGAAAACGATGTCAATCGGCTTGGAGAGAATGGGATGGATTCGGGACAGTGAAGGCCTGGTTGACAGACGGGGGAAGTGCTTAATGAAATAGGAAATAGGGACATAAGATCACTGAGGAACAGGTTGTACCGTCGGAACTTGAAATCGTTCAGTAGAAAATCGATAATTTCTTTTGAATTAACTAGGTCACTTAACCAAACGACTTCGTGCATTCTATGGCTGACAAGTAGACGAGCCAAAAAACCGAGGTAAAAAATGTAAATGACTGAATTTTAAAAAAATCACCTCAAAACAGCTTTGAAAAAATACTTTCTGAAGTATACCAGCTACGAAAAGAATTGATACCGGAAAAATTCTGATATCTCTCACTTAAAATGAGAGGGAACAGGTTTTCTTGAGACCCAAGAAGGGATGTTTATGAGTGGAACTTTAAGCAAAACGATCCAATCGATCAAGAAGGGAAGAAACGCCAATGTTTGCGATTCAGTCCAAAAACAGCAGATAAAAATCTATGCAAAATGATCAATTTTCTTCAAGGCATTCAAAATATGAGATAAATAAGAAATATAGGGAGATTTATGGTTGAAGAACTCAATGGCCCTGAAATTAAGGAAATTGTAAAAGATAAGCTACGATAAGAAATTCGCATGAAATAGATAAAACAGGAAAATTTAGTAGATGAAAATTCAATCAATACGCGAACCCTTCAGGGGAAACAAAGGAATCTTTCACCCCGTGCAAGTCAGGTGATGAATTCCACACAGGGTTAGGTAACCCAAGCGGGTATTTATTTCAATCAATGGCCAAAACAAACATGGAATAATAGATGGACGCAGGTGAGTAAAAGGTGTGACCCATCAATGAGAGGCAATCTGATGCCAGAAAAGGTCAAAACGATAATGACACTAGACTATTTGACTATTCGAATAATTTAAAAGGAACATCCAAATTCACTTAAAATCGGATCCCGGTGCTAACTTAGTTGGGGGGGGGCCACGCGGCGGCGCGGCAGTCTGCTCACCTGGGCTCTCTCGAGCGAGACAGTGTAAACTCGAACATTCCAGCTTTTCACGCATGTCAAGTGACTGCCCCACCCCCCACCCCCCTAGACTGCCTACACTCCCCCTGGCCCACGGATTTCCGAACATGCCAGGCGAGCAGACTGCCGCGCCGCCGCGTGCCCCCCCCCCAACTAAGTTAGCACCAGTTGTGACCACTAATGCCAGCTACTACCAAGTCAAAAACATAACATTTTGTCAGAATTACGAGGAGCGCTGAGACGCGTCGACGATGGCCGAATAGGGGAAACCACGGGCGCGAGGACGGGGAAGGGCTGGGAGACAGACAAGTCCGTGGGAGAGAGGCAGGACGCAGACATTTGAGCTACGCAGAGAGAGCACATCAAGTGGCGAGAATCACGACAAAACACGACGAGAGAGCGTCCATCGCCGTGTTTGAGTGCGGAGACGCAGCGCACTGCAAGACTTAAGCGCGCGCCTCCACGGTGTGGCCAACCACGCCACCCGCAAAGGTCACTTCGCCGGACGAGATGGCCACACGGGGTCGGTGCCAATCGTAAAATCGGCATCACACCTCGGTGATGGGGTTACAGTTCCGGTGCTGGATATCCCATCACACAGGACCATGGGAGCTTACCCACTTTCTACCCACTGAAAATTCACTTAGGGTGTTGTCGACGAACGAACCCAACGGGATGTTGTTTTCAGAGCGAAACGGATTCCGAAATCCACAAACACCAACATAGTATCGTATACACAAACGGAACACCAACGCTTTGCCTCACAGCTTTGGTCTGACGTCGCGCGCGATGTCGCCCAGACGCTTTGATGCGACGTGCACTTTTGCGATGAGCTTTGCTACGACGCAGTTTTAAGCTCAATTTACTAAGGGTCGGCTGGCGCCTGCAGCTTGAGTTTTAATGAGTTGAATGGGAATTTCAGGGAGGGAACACGAGAGACGATCCAAAAATAGGATTTTGGCAGTTCAAGAAAAAAATCGGAACGACTGGGCCCATTCGTAATATGTTGTGACAAGATCATAAAACACGGTAACTGGGTTAACTCAGCCCAAATTCTGGGTAACCCAGAATAACACTGACAACAGTGATCTTGACAACAAATACAGTGAATGGCTCAGTCGTTCCGATTTCCGATTTTCCTGGAACTTCTCAAAATCCTACTTAAAGAAAAAGACAATGCCTAGCCGGGGCCAGTGAGCGCCCTCAGTGACACATGTGCTTTGAAATATGCAGGTGCATGCACACAAGGGTGTCGCGTTCCACTTCATCCGAACTAGTCAAATATCCACCCCATTCGATTAATGAGGCGTTCTAGGGTCAGAGGATGCCAAGGGTATCGCCACCCACGCAGCAACTTAATCAGGTAGAGAATGAGTCGCCGCGCCATTATTCACATAGTTGCGACTGCGTACGTTTAGTGGAACTCAATGGGAACATTCGTAGGAGGGAAACAGCTCTCTGGAGCACTGAGAAACAGCTTTTGTGACGGCTCTATTGAATTACGTGCTTTCATGGCAACTGCTGAACTAGTAATCAACCTTATTAACTTCCACCATAAGCCCTAGGGCTAAAAGCACTCATAAGCTTCTGATTTCGAAGGAGAGAAAGCTATTGAAAAGGGGTGCATAAAAGGGCGCGACAGATAGAAAGTGCGCCAGGGCTCTGTGCCATGCGCCACGCAACCAACTTCTGCTCAATATCATAGAAGGCATTTGAATGAGTGCCTGGCTAATACAATGTTTGAGAGGTACTTTTCATCCAATCAAGTATAATTCTATGATCAAGAGAAAAAACCATATATAAATAAGACGACCGGAAGCATAAGAACACTGGCTAACTGTCTATACGGTATCCAACTCGCAGTTCGTGATTCCGGCAACTGCGCCTTCAGCTTCTGCGCCACCTCCATTACCAAAGACCCTTTAGCTCATTTTTTCTTCAAACGTGCGATCAAACTTGGATCTTTGGTAATGTAGGTGGCGCAGGAGCTTAGGCGTAGTTTTCGGAAATCCCGAGCTTCGAGTTGGGTACCGGATAGCTCATTTTTTCTTGAAACGTCCGAATTAAACCTCAATGTCTGGAAGCCCTCGTCCAATCAATAAAGAGTTTTAGAGGGAAAATAAAATCTTCCCAGATCCTTTTCCAATTAAGGATTTAGGCCTGTCATCCTCAAACTCAGCCAGAACCCTTGGATAAAGGGCAAGTTTTTCACGCAAGTGGGATGTATTCAAAAATGGACACGGAGCGCAGGATGTTTTCAAGATCTTGTCTCTTGCGCAAGAATAGCCATTGAGCCCGGTGCGTTAGCCCGACAAATAGTGTGGCGCAATTATTGGTGAGTGCATTGGCGCTGGTGCAACAGCAACTTCCACATCCATTGGTGCGTATGACAATGCACAGAAATCGGCACATACAGAAACTCTCCGACGGATGAAGACAACGTCGCTGTCTGGTCTTCAAGCGTGTTTGTAGCAGGAACTACTACACAGGACAACTGGAAATTATGCCGAAAGAAAAGGACTAGTTATCCGGAACTTACGATAAAGGAATTTTCTTGTAGCAAAAAATGCCCTATAAAAATCCGTGACGATATAGGACGGAATGTGGACAATCAATCCCAGCCATGGATTCCCTCCTAACCCTCAGCCAAGCAATCCGCACACTAGCTCAGGGTTAGATGTTGACGTGATGCGGCAATTTGCAGCCTGCAACACGTTTAGTACAACAAAGTACACCGGGAAAATAGCTCGTAACTTCGCAGCAAAGGGCAAAAACCACGCTCATAAGGTCATAGAGGTCATTAAAATGTGCCATTACCACCGAACAACAATCCGTCCCTCTTTAGAGGCTAAGGGGTCTACGCTGAACTCGTCCAGGAGCAGAACGTCCAGGTAGAACAGCATGTCCAGTGAGCATATGAATTGGCTATTGAAGCGGACCCTCACCAGACATCAACACAGCAATCGTTTTGGCAAGATAACTCGTCAAGCTTCTAGGCTATCAAAGGACAACTCTTCCAGACTCTGCATAACTTCGCACTAATCTGATTAGCCTAACGAGGTCGCCACGTAATTATAGATGCCTTTTAAGATATTAGCGAGAAGTATACGCACAGGACTGCTTGGCTGACGAGAGAAGAAAACACGATATTAGTATTCCGATGAGCGAATGAGCGTATATTGCCGCGGGCGCTTCGTTCTACGACCTTTTACGGCCTTGACAACCAACTCATCGACATTTATCTATTGCGATAAAAAAAACGACGACCATGTATGACTCGTTCTAGGTATGACTCAGGATGGAGGTGCGAAGCCTTGTGCCTAGGTATGAATCGCTTTCGTTTGCTAGCAAGCAAAGAGGC